AGACACTTTTGAAATAGCATTTCTTGGGGCCCTTGCTACCATGGAGAGGCATTTCGCCTCCACCTACTTCCCTATGGACATTTCTGGTGCTTGCTACCAGCGCAGAGGACACAAAAAAATACTACTTTGTGCCTACCAGTAGAAAAGGTAGTCGAAACATGGTTGTCGAGGCGCGGACAATCCATACACTCTTCTAATCCTTTTGTATGGGGTCTTCTTACGACCTCCATTGGCGTAATATTGCTCTCTGGTAGCATTTGGTACGGCATTACGAATATTCTTACCACATTCGTAACACTGTGCTGACGTGTCGTCTTCTATTTGCATTTTCTTACCACAACACCAGAAACCCTTGGGCTTGGGTATGTTAACTTTGGATCTTAGACAAATTATACAGAAGTCATTGGTGAACTTTTTACATTCGTGCATATATAAGACAAATATTCCTAACATTCGCGCAACATATAACAGAACACGGGTAATTCCCGCGGGGGACGCTAGTGCGTAAACACGGGTAATTCCCGGGCGATTCCGAATGGTGACCGCGAGTCCCCCTTACTGCTGCTTAAGGAAGGTCGGGAATAAGGGCCTATGGGCGTCCCTTCCAAATCCTAATACACCTTTTTACCGTTACGGTGTCCATCTTGAATAGCCCACCTCCGAGATATGCTTCGCTTGTCACGCACAAAGGTTTCAGTATGGGGCTACGTGCTAAATTAAATTAATTCTTACCGCCTGTCACGAATCACTGAGCATTAAGCACGGAGCCTCACATTAAAACCTTTGTGCGTGACAAGCGAAGCATATCTAGGAAGTGGGCTATTCTATTGTTTTAATTAAGACATCATAGGATGCCGAGAAAGCAACGCGTACTTGAAAATGTATAGGCTGCACAGCTGTCAGAACGCCCTTTTACTTTTACTTTTTCAATGAGAAGCACATCTAAAAAGCAATTGAATTTGCTGGTAGTTACAACAATATGCGAAACACGAAGACTTCGAGCAATTTGAGAACATAACCCCGCCACTCTATGCTTTATACATTTTCTACGTGTTTACCCCCTCGGCATCCCATGATTAAAGATGGTCACCGTATCAGTCAAAAGGCCTCTATTATGATTCGTTTCGTATGCAAACCATTCTCATACAATACTTATTGATCATAGAGTATTGGATAAGAAGTACCGTAACTCATGAAGCATGGGCTACCTGTGGTGAGATCCCCTTGTCATGATTGTTGTAAGCAAATGGTGTGTTTTCCATGTAATGTATGAATCGTCTCGGAGTATTTTTAAAGAATGTACTTGTTTCAAGGTCTGAGAGCAAAGAGAATAAATCATAAAGAAGTTAGTGAGAAAAGGCTAGCCTGCGCTAGCCTCCACGCAGGCTAAGAAAAGACAGACAATCCGCTCTGTTCTTTCTTATTTATTTCAATGACATCACTGTCTCTATAGAGATCAAGGTGCTTCAAGTCACTTAATATGAGAACTGACGTTTTAAAAAGTAAGAAAGAAAATTGCGCTAATTAATAAGAATATAAAACAAGTTTGTTAGCTTACTGTGGAAGTTTAAAGTTGTGCTAAAGTTCCTTGCGTCATTGGATGTTAGAAGCCGCTCGTCGTATTGTCCTTTAGCAAAGCCGTAACCCGATGCTATAAGACTAATAATTTCTAGCCCTAGACATTCTGCCCAGATGGGAAATACTCGTCCTTCTCGATTAGACTGAAAGAACACAAGAAAGAGAAGAGTCATTACGGGGATGAGTATTGCGGGCGCGTTAGAAACCCCGACGGCTGGAAATCTTCGCCTAAGCGCGCATGCGCTGTTTTCTTTTTTATTTCTATCACGTAAATTAATTAGTTAGAAAAATGGGTCAGTTTCTGGGCTAGACCGTGCCTTCTAACGTTCTCAAAGTCATGTATGAAATTTGTTATAATGTAGAAGATCTAGAACGTACTCACCTTTAATGCCAGTTCAAATATTTGCTTGCCCACAGTGGCATATCTTGAAACGTTAAGCATAACATGGCCGCCTGGGAATACCACACTGAATATGACAGGAAGTACAATAAAAATAAATTTGAATACGAGGTATTTAAGTTGAGGCACCTTTAGGACCTTGTCTGGTTTCCGCTTAACAAATGTTTGTTTTACATTCAGTAAATGGCCCCTTCTCAAAATAGGTCATTTGAAGGAAATAATCACGTTTCTGGTTGACAAAAAAAAATCAGTTCGGGCTCCCCTTTTTTGCCAATCCAGCAGAGCCTTAGTCTCCTACGCAGCCGCCATTAGTTTCGTCACGCAACGTGACGTGACGTGAAGTGACGACACTAATAGCGGCTGCGTAGGAGACTAGCAGAGCCTTCCCCAAGGGACATTTGGCTGAATATATCCGCACGTGACTGGTTATTGCAAATGACCTATTATCTTGCGTCATCATCCCAAACATGTTTTTCTTGCCTACCCATTTATAGAATAGAATAACTTTTCAATCTCTTTCGGCGTTCTGTCTATACTGTGCAAAGCAAATCAAGGAAAAAATCATGAAGTATCTGGTTAGTTCTCGATATCAATTCGGTAACTACTCGGGTTTTTCTCGGTTATCATTCGCTTTGAACTCGAATTTAACTTGTATCATGTCCTTAAAAATGTTTAAAACGGGGAAGAATTACACAACGATAAAATGGCTCACATTAGTTTTCAAAGGATACAATATTGGCGCCACTCTCGCTCCAGCTGACTCGACCATTTTGACGTAAGATGCGCTAACAYATTGACCGCTTCCCAGTGCAAGGTGTTTGCCATTTACCTCTTGAAGCAGCACGCCTTTATTCATATAAATATGACATCAGATATACAGTGTGTGCAATCATGTGACTCAAAATCCCTTGAGATATAAATAACAGTGAAACAACCGCCATATTGGTCGATCCAACAGGAGAAGCTGATAAGGAATGGTTTGTTATCGTCAATCAAGATGTGGTTATAACGTAACATTCATATATGCTCTAATAAAGAATAATCTGTTCAAAATTTACAGTTTTTGGTTAAAAAAGCCTTTGAGAGGGCAAATAGCAAAAAAATTATCACGTCGCAGGCAGTACGGTACAACATCGTTAACCAGAGCACAAAGGCGAACAACCGCGGATTTGGCCATTGTGCGCATGATCGGAGACACATGTCTATCATAAAAGAGAATTGCACACTTTTGGTAGTCAGGTAGACCAAGCTATGCACTTGTGTAGATATCATCTTCATTGTCACATCAAAGTGGTTTTACTTAACACATAAAATGCTTAGAGAAGTATAAGTATATATATAATTAATATATACACTGTATTATAGTAAACAATAAGTACTATAGACATATATCATTTTTCTCTAAAATCAGTGATTTAGATTTAGACTTCATCAGAGTATTTATTTATTTATTACATATCACACGGCTGCTTTGTTTCGTTTGTATGTTTCCATTTAGGGAGGTTTTTTCACAGGGCTAGCTTCTAAACTTACTTTCATGGTGCTTATTTATTCCTATTTTTTCCTGCGTTAGTTTTTGCGCTCGCTCTTACTATTTTATCGTATACTACAGATTATTTGCGTCCTGAATAAACTACTATTGTATTGTATTGTATAGCTCTGATAATGCATAGTAGTACACACAAATACCATCGCTTTTTTGTTTGCTTGTTTGTTTTAGTGATCTGGCTTACTTCGTCAGTGAAACAAAGTTGCGACTATAAGAGTCAAACAAACAAACAAAAACAAGAAAAAAATGAAATTTGAGTCTACTACCATACAGTACGTTGACTATCTTTCACGGGCGAATCAAAAACACTCTACTTCGATCGCTGTTACTCACTGATTATATGAAGGCAACCTTGTTTAACGAGAAGGTAAAATCACTCTACTTTGACTGTTACTCACTGATTATATGAAGGCAACCTTGTTTAACGAGAAAGTAAAATCACTCTACTTTGACTGTTACTCACTGATTATATATAGGCAACTTTGTTTAACGAGAAGGTAAAATCACTCTACTTTGACTGTTACTCACTGATTATATAGGCAACTTTGTTTAACGAGAAGGTAA